CTTGATCCTGAATCACCTTCCTTTCCTTTAAGGAGACTCGATACGGCGACTGGTGGACAGGGAGCGCGTCGTCTTCGGTAATAATGCGATGTTTCGCCATTGGTGTTTGGCGAACTTTCGACGACGTTGCAAAACAGTCACTGTATTCGGAAAGGAGATCAACCAGTTGCCGGCGCTTAGGAGCTGGGAGCTCGGGGTCGATGTCGATCGGCGGCGGCGGCGTGCTGTTCTGCTGTGACGACGAGGTTTCTTCGGAGATTGCGGTGACCATGGCTGGCGCCTGAAGCTCCTCAATGTGGCCCACGGTGGTACCCTTCGTTAGGTGCTGCGGCTCCTCTCGGAAGTTTGTCACAAGAACAGTTGTACGTCCTTCTTGGAGATCCGTTACGCCTCGTGCGACGCCAATTCCTTTTTCAAGGAGCAGTTGGACGCTGCCTTCCAGAAGAGCTCCACCGTGCATGGCTGCGTCGGTTATGACGGTGACGAAAACACTCGACCGCGGCGGTAAGTTCACATCGTCGGTGATAACTCGGATCGCGGTTGACGTTGTGGTCTCCACCGGCGGTAAAGCAGGCTTTCGCAGCGTCAGCTGGTTTGCCCCGAGGTTGATGACGGCGCCATACTCGCAGAGAAAGTCCATTCCGAGGATAACGTCCTTCGAACAGTCTTGCAGAACGACGAACTTCACAGGGCACGTCTCACCGTGGATATCGACGCGAGCAGTGCATCTCCCGACTGGCGTGCTGAGATGTCCTCCGGCGGTTCGTATTTGGGGTCCATCCCACGGCGTCATGACTTTTCGCAAGCGGCGAGAGAGCCTCCCACTCAAGACTGAGTAGTCTGCTCCGGTGTCCACAAGTGCCGATCCGTCGTGGCCGTCGATTATAACGTTTAGGTTGTTGGACACCGATGCAGGGACGTCGTTGTGATCCGTAGCGTCGAGAGAGTGGGAGCGCTTCGTCGTTCTTGGAGGCTCTTTACTACGGTCGTCTTCGTCAACGCCACCTCCAGGCGTTGCCGCACTTAGTTTTCCCGGCGACGCAGGGGAGACACGCTTTTCGGCGGGGTCATGACACCGGGGACGCTGAACGTCGTGGCGATGGGGGGAGCGGGCTTCACGGCGGAGAGACGACACTGGGGAGGGCGAGCGTCGGAGGTACTCCTCGATGTCGCGAGGGCGTTCGCCGTACCTTGGACGTGGGTCGTTCGGGTGGAACCACGCAGGCCCATTTGCCGGTAAGGACAACGGCGGTAGATATGGTCGGCCTCCCCGCAGTGGTAGCAGTGGGTCGTCGATCCGCTGTCCTTCACACCTCGGTTTTCCTTGGCACCGGCTGTTCTTGGCGGTCGTACTGACGTACTTCTTCGTTGCGTCGGGGGTACGCCTGCGTTGGTGGGTCTCGTCGTGGCGCCACCGTGTAATGTTGAGCAGTTGGCGGCGGTCGTCGGGCCACTGCGGCGTAGGTCACTGTCGGCTCATCGGCTGCAGCCACGCTGGCAGGAGTCTCCGGTTGAATTGCCCGCGGAACTTCTTCGCGTACCATTTCGGCTATCGACAGCGAAGCCGGCTGGTTGGCAGTAGGCAGCAGCTTCCTGAGCTCTTCTCGGACGATGTCGCGGACAATTGCACGAAGATTGTCAGCGCTGATGCCGCCCTCGTCGAATCGGGAAGACGTCAGCGTCGAAGCAGCAGGCGTGCCGGCGAGTCGGTTGTAGTGGGTGGCTCGGATTGACAGGGCCCGCTCGATGTTAGTTGCCTCGGCAACGAATTCATCGACAGTAGTTGGTGGGTTGCGAACAAGGCCACTGAAGATGTCACTCCTTACTCCTCTCATCAGGACCAGCAGCTTTTTCTCCTCGGTGGAGTGAGGGTCCGCGCGGCTGCTCAGGCGGAGGACGTCTTCAACGAAGCTGGTGACCGTTTCGTTGGGCCCTTGAGTTCGTACTTGAACGAGGTCTTCCGCTCGCTGTCGCCGTGTCTGGTTTGTGAATGTCTCCTTCAGGCCAGCGATACAGGTGTCCCACGACGTAAGCGACGCCTCGTGGTTCTCAAACCACTGCCTCGCGGTACCCTCCAAGGAGAAGTAGAGGTTTTGGAGGCGCTGCTCAGTGGTCCTCCACGTCTTCGTGGGTCTCGCCATGGAAGGTCGTTGGGGTTCGCTGGGCAACAGGCAGGTAGATGACGGCGGCGGCGGTTGGGGACTGCGATTGCTGGTCGTCCATCGTTGGCTGCTGGTACTGGGTGGCAGAAGTCCGTATTCCGGGTGTAGACCTTGGGTGCGGCGACTGGTCCGAGTTTCAGGTTCCGCGTTGAGTGGTCTTCTCACCGGGCTTGGAATCGGGCTTGCACTGCGGGCCCTGGGAGGGGAACGCTGCACGGGCATGCGGTACTCCGCACCTCCACCAAAATGTCACGGGTGGGGACCAAAAAACAATAAATAAACAGAAAGAAATAAGCGTTTAATGTGGCGAACTTGTGCCAAAAATAAAAGGGGTACAAAGGATAATAACAGAGCGTCGCGGACTTCGAAGACGGCGAAACCGCAGGATCGAGCGCTGGGGCGAGACTGAATCCGCTCGCCTTGCGGAATCCCTTATGTACCCTCGTGGGTTTCTGGATCGTTCGGCGTAGAAGGTTCGGCGCGTAGAACATTCTAACTGCAGTAAAGTGTAAAGTTGGGCTAGTTGGTAGTTATTCATCTTGGTTTTAAAAGCGCTCCAAAGACGAGGACAGAGTAAGAAACACAAACGAGCGCTCGTCCGTCGTTTGTGTTTCTTACTCTGTCCTCGTCTTTTGTGCGCTTTTAAAACCAAGATGAACATTCTAACCTCAAATCAGCGAGACGGTTCTCGAATTCACCAGAACATCACATTACGGTGTCAACAAAAATATGTAGCCACGGCCAGGAATCGAACCCTGGCCTTCTGTGTGGAAGGCAAGCGCGATAACCGTTAGGCCACGCGTGCGCTGCCTACTTGGGCAGCTGCGCGCGCGGCAATATCGCTAACGGAGCGCAAAAAACGATCGACTGAGACTCCACACTGGTGAGCTTTAGTAGTAAGGTCAAAGCGCAGTCGTCTCAAATCCACGCTCGGGTGCCGTCCGAACGGACTGTTGCACGCCGTCCAATCTGCCTGTCACGGGCTATTTTATTAAGGCGAAAGCCTTACTTGTCCCATTGAGCGAGAAATCGGACTAAATGGCCCCGAAAACGTGGTTGCGCGGCACGCGACGGCTCAGTGGGCGGCTTACTTGCCCCATTACCTTGGCGTCGTCCTTGCGATCGTCCTTGAAGTCGTTCTTGACGTCGGTTTAGGGGTCATCCTAGAAGTCGTCCCAGACGTCGTTCTTGACGTCGTCCTAGAGGTCGTCCTCTAAACGTTGTTCTCGAAGTCGTCCTAGACGTTGACCTCTAGACGTCGTCCTAGACGTCGACCTCTAGACGTCGTCCTCTAGACGTCGTTCTTGACGTCATCCTAGAGGTGGTTCTTGAAGTCGTCCTAGACGTCGTCCTTAACGGGTTTTCGCCTTTCTACGCGTAAGCATTCTCAACCGCACTCGTGTAAGTCTTCATTTTCTGCGACTGTCCTTCTCTATTGACCCTCACGGGTGCCTCTTTTAGACGCCTATAGACCTTTCCAGGGCTTATCACCCGGACAAAAAATGCCGTGTCATTGAACTTCGGACGCGTGTGCAGCGTCTGATACAGCGTCTAAACAGAGCGGCATCGCATTTTCAGAAGGCGTTCCACAGCCCAGCCGACAAAGATGGCAGCGCGGACAAGGCGATTGTTCCTAAAGTGTCTAGACCAGGCGTGGCCAAGCTGCACCCCCTTCCCCCCCCCCCTCCCCGCCTCCACTCTTTCCCGCCTCCCTCCCGGTCACATGAGCACTGCCCAAAAAAGAGAAATGGAACGCGTTTTAAATCGAAAGACGGGTTGCGGTTTGGTAGTCATGTGCTACTACTACCTTACGGTGACTCGTATAAATTGAAAGTAGTTCGAGTTTCGTTTGTTTCTCTGGGAAACGGGTAACGGGTACTTATTTCAAGTAACAGATAACGTAGTTACGTTACTCGTAAGTTTTTCCAAAATGTTAAAAGAAATTACGCTTCAATTTTCTGTGTGTGTGTTTTAGGCGCCAAGTTATGTGAATTCTTGCACTCATCCCTCATTCTTTTAAAATCAGAACGGTATAAAATAACAGTTAGTTTCTCTATGTTAATTTTCTGCATGGACTTAATGTTTCTTGAAATATGGCACTTCTGCACACCTGTAACGTGAACACAGTAAAACTTTTAAATTCAGAAATAAAAGTAATGTGCGTAACTTTTTAACGGTAACGGTAATGCGTTCCTTTTATTTAAAAGTGACGAGTAGATTATTTCGTTAGTTTTTCTTTTTTTTTTTTTTGATAGTTTGATAGCGCCTACAGTTTTTCTTTTATGGTAATTTCCTTGATTTCTTTTTAATGATAATCTACGCGCTTTGAGTTGTAGAAATAGTCTTGTAAAATCAATTTCTCGGGATACATGAACTATGCGCAAAACGTTTATTTTTTTTTTCTTGTTATAACATTGCAACGAGCAGGGTGACTTTCGCGCTCCACTGCATCGTATGTTTCATGTCATTGCTGCTTCGTGTCGTTAGCGCTGCGCACATGTACCTGAAACTGATAAGTTTATTTAAGTTCTTTTTTAAAATATCTTATTATGAATTCGAATGTTCCATCTCTTTTATGCTTTTTTTCTCGTTCACATAATAATACTATTGTTCGTTGGAATGAGGAGAAATTTCGATGAGAGTCTGATGTTACAACGACTTTCCAATCTGGCAACGCTGCTGCTCACGCCGATGGCCCACGCTTGGTGTGGACAAACGTGGACGTGTTTATGAACGGCGTGTTCTATATAAAATACCTTTCAAGGCCAAACCTATTTTTAATCCAGTGATCACGTGCATTTAAGGACGCTTACGTTTCTTCTTTTTATTGCTTGCTAGCACTCCGGATGCAGAACCCGAAGCTCCCAAATCCCCGGATAATCTGGGAGACTACCTGGAACTCGAAGCGATGGAACCGGATGACCTGGACGAATCTTGCCTCAAGAAAACCACGACTGATCTCATGAACGAACTGGAGGACATGCTTCAGTGATCTCCCTTTGCTCCGTTGTCATGTCCCTAGACGGATTAATTAGGCACTGAAAAAGATTTCCTTTCGGTATTTGGACACCAAAAAAGGCTGGTTCACACCGTTGCGTTTGAGTGTGATCGACCGCGCCACCACTACCCGTGTGGTCTCTTGTCGAAAGCCGTCACAAATGGTCGTAGTGTAATCGATCAGAGTCAAGAGCAAATTATGTAAACCAGTTTTAGAATCTTCGGTGAACGTACTTAAACACACACGGTGGACACGGATAAAGCTTTGGGGATCATGAGCTAAATTTAATGGCTCATAAAAGAGGGAGAAGAGAGCGTTAGGGGAAGCCTATCTCAGGGCTAACTACGTCTCCCCTTTCTACTGACTGCTAAGTTCCAACGTCCGCTGTTGTTGTCCGTAACAGCCACGGGCGGACGATACCAGTTAAGAGTTCTATCTGCGTGTGCCCATATGTATATTACAGCACTTTTAGTATTTGCTTCAGGGGAAGAAATTTCTCCTTTTCGCGCCTAAGCATCTGGACTACTCCTGTACGCATTCAGGTGTTGTGCGGCCATTAGAGCGAAGTTTATACACCATTACACATTGTCATTGAAATTCAACCTGACATTCATCCATCCACACCTTTCAGGCAATTCGTGATGCCATTTCTTATGCAGCTTTCTTCAGAAAGTGCTCAAGATAAGTTTTTGGAGGAAGTCCTCCGATGCGAGTTTGGTATTACAAATGTGATCGATAATATTTTTTGCGCGTGGTTAAAGTTAGTTGCAGTGTCAAATTGTTACGTTGTTTTAGATGCTGATACAAGCAATGCTGCTAGGATTGAAATGTCAGGATGTTCGCTGCAATTTATATTTTTCTACATTTAGCCCTTTTAGTGTCGATGTTGCCTAGAGTTAGGCAACAAATGGAAAACGTCCGGATGTGCCTTGCCTACTATTTTTGGCTCAACTTTCTATCACGTGTATGTATTCCCGTAAAGAATTTTCTTTTCCGACGGTTTTTTTTCAAAACATTCCTTGTTCCGCCGCAATAAAGTGGATATTGTTGAGCACACCGTGTGGATGTCGCTTTTCCGTCAGTATGGATGATAAAACTGAAATTCGGGTAGCTCACATTCCTGCAGGTTGTAGGAATGAACTTGAGCATTGTGCGGCAGGTGTTCAAATGCTGTGTCGCGCGAACTTCACGACAAAGGTAGCGAGAATAGGACCAGTTTTCCATTCCGAATTTTGCTTCGACAGGGAATTGGCGAGCAGCGAATGTTGCCACCTAGGTAAGTCACCCGAGGGAGCACTTTCGGCCGGGATGGCGCCACGAGAGCGAACGACACGAGAGCGCACGACAGCAAAGCGCCGCGACAAAAGAACACCGCGACACGAGAACGCGTGTGAATAGGCTCCTTGCTCTGACGTCACATCGCACAGATTTGAACACCAAGTAAAAGGAGGAGAAAGAAGCTGCTTTTGTAAGAATTTTGTGTGACAGGTTAGTCTTCTGGGAGGAGAATAGCGACGCCTGCGCTAATCCGGGAGGCACAAAGGAGGATCCTGATAAGAGGGGAGCTCCCTCTTCCCCTCTTCTCTGGAGGGCAACGGAAATGACGTCCTGTGCAAGCCACGTATAGGTGGCTTGCACAGGACGTCATTTCCGTTGCCCTCCAGAGAAGAGGGGAAGAAGGAGACCCCCCCTTATCAGGATCCTCCTTTGTGCCTCCCGGATTTGCACAGGCGTCGCCATTCTTCTCCCAGAAGATTATAGAAGATTAACCTGTCACTCAAAATTCTTACAAAAGCAGCTTCCCTCTTCTCCTTTTACTTGGTGTTCAAATGTATGCGATGTGACGTCAGTGCAAGGAGCCTGTAGACCGTTTTACTGAAAGAGGGCGAGAGAGAAAAGGAGAAAGGGCTACCGGCGCTCTCCCCCTTTCTGATTGTGTAGAAAGGGTGAAAGTCCCGGATGAGAGGCTTCGCCGGTGTTGGGTGTCTGCTGTGCGCGAACTTCGTTCGCGCTTTCTTTTCTGTTTTAAACTCGCAAACTTAATTAAAGCTAGTGGCTTCGATGGCAACAGTCGCCCGGTCATCGAGACACCATTGCTGGGTCATAGGGTGCACGAATAAAAACAGAAGGCACAGAATACTGTCCGAGGACATATGTAGCATGCAAGGAATCCAGCAAGGCGAGAGCGGCTGCAATGTCTTTAAACTCCATCGCTTTCCACATGACCCCTGTCTCCGGGGGCAGTGAATTGCGTCCGTAAAACGAAAAGGCGTTTCCTCAACGCCATCCTCTCGACTTCGCTCGGAACATTTCGTGAATGGAGCGCGCACCGAACGCTGTACCGCCGATAAACTTGGGGTACGCTCGCAATGTGCGTGCGAGTTTTCTCATGATAACTGCTGTTTCAGCTTGTAAAATTTCGTAACTGAATTTATCTTAATAGTGATAATTCGCAGTGGTGACTGAATCGATTTTATCATCTACAAGACTTAGTTGAAGGCTTATTTCCGCCGCCGGGTGAGGCTGGAAATTGTTGAAAACGTAGTTCTACTGTTTTTGTGTTGTTTTTTTTTTGTTTTCTTTTTAATCGCGATCTTCTGCACGATACCAGAGAGCCGGCAAAAGCGCTCCTTGGAGTGCCACTGGTGGGTTGTTTCCGTTGACTAAGGCGCTTTGAGGAGCTTGATAGTCGCTGCAGGGAACGTCTCGTGTGTTGCGATCTGCGTCTTCGAGCCCAGTGTGCACGTTTCTGTGTTTGGGTCATGGCATCCGCCAGTGTGGCGACGGGGGGAACAGCGACAGCGAACGTGCCAGCATTGGAGGCGAGTACTCAAAATATTGCATCAAATAGTAAAATAATTCGTGGCTGCTTCGAGGCTTTCTGCGGTTCGATAAAAGTACATCTAGAGCGTCTTCGTCGTTCATTCACAAGGAAATATAAGAACAGGGACACGAAGATAAAAATAGCACAGCAAGACGATATGTAGCAGCTCCGGGCGTTTACAAAGTTAATTGAGGTTCCCGTTTCGTGTATCGCTTGTTGATTGCAACTAAAAGCGGCTACGTTGAAATAGGCCCATTGCAAGCAAAAATCTATAAATGTTTCATCATTTCTAGTCATGCGGAGAGCAATGGAGCTTAAAAACATTCCAGCCGTACTTGCCTTGCCGGATTCCATGCAAGCTACATAGGTCCTCGGACAGTATTCGACGCTTTCTGTCGTTATTCGTGCACCCTATCACCCAGCAATGGTGTCCCGATGACCGGGGAACTGTCGCCATCAAAGACCATGGCTCTAATTAAGTTTGGGAGTTTGAAACGTAGAAGAAAGCGCGAACGAAGTTGGGGCACTGCAGACGCCCAACACCGGCCAAGCCTCTCATCCGGGACTTCCACTCTTTCTACACAATCAGAAAGGAGGAAAGCGCCGGTAGCCCTTTCCCCTTTTCTCTCTCGCTCTCAAAATGGCGCTACCCACGATAAAACGGTCTATACGCTCCGTGCGGGAACTATAGGGGGCGCTTTGAAAAACGCGCGCAGCGCCGCTAGCGGAGGAGCTGGCGTTCGACCGTGAGGCGCGTTCAACAGCCTGCGGCGCCTTTTCGCATGCCAAGCTGTGGCGGCGGAAGCGCGCACGGACGAAACTTTTGCTTTTTGAGCCGATACGTTGAGGGTGACGTTGCATGAGCGCTGGGGCAGAAGGGCATTTAGCTGTTCTCCTCTTTTTATATACTGAGTTTTAGTCGTTATTCGGGGGAATTTCTCTAGTTGCGGCCAAAAAAGGAGTTGGAGCAATTTTCCGAAAAGCAAGACGGCCGCCACCATAATTGCTTTGAGTGGGAAATTTATTTCGCTCGTCGCTGTAAACCTAGGACTGCTGGAACGATAATATTTGGAGGCGAGTGAGATGTCCACTAAGTTTCTGCACGAAGTGCGCCAAGTTTCATTAAGACAGCAGGTGTGAAAGTTGTTTCTAACGAATAAAGAAATAAAGCTGTACGGTATATCCAATATTGGACCCAAAATGTTGTGTTATAGCGGGCTGCGCAAAGTGCAGATTTGGGCACACAGGTGCTTGGACTTGACAGTAACATGACACAGTGCTTATTATAAAAAAAAAAAAAAAGGTGGCATAGGGAAACCAGGTGAAAATTTAATTTGGGCGGCGTAACTCAATGGGAACCGGTTATGACCATGAAAAGGCTGTCAAGAGAATACCACTGGTCGGGGGAGGTGGAGACTTTAGACGTAGGAAGGGACTAGTGGACTGTACTTCCAATTGAAACCACTTTACGAAAGGTGATTCCAAAGCCGAGAAATCGAAGTTGTCGGCCAACACACGGTTTGGCCGCCAAGGGCTTTTGCGGTCAGCTGTTGTGTAATAACCTGTCGTGCGAGGTGCTGATTTTCGGCCCACAGGTACTTTGACATGACCGTCACTTGGCACAACACTTATTATAACAAAAATATTTGGCATAGCGAAACCAGGTGGAAATTTATTTTGGGCGGCGTAACTAAATGGGAACTGGCTTTGACCGTCAAAGGCTGTCAGAAAATACCACTCATCGTGGGAGGTGCACACTTTACAGGTAGGAAGGGACTAGTGGACGGTACTTCCAGTTCGAACCACTTTGCGTTAGGTGGCTCTAAAGCCGAGAAAAAAAATTGTTGTCTACAGAACTCGGGGTGTCAGTGTTTCCACATCCAGAAATAGGCTGATCAAGAAAGAAAGCACACCACATAAACTTCCATACTGAAACGCCGATTCTCCAGATTCTCCAGTGATTCCGAGTTTCATGGTTGTTTTCTTTAGATTTATATTTGTCACTTTTTTTTACCGTTCAAATCTTTCTTAATGAAGTACAGATCGTGTGCTATATTTGTCCGGAAATATCATCGACACATACGATGGGGACGAAACTTCTTTGGAGGGCATTCCTCCAACGAAATTGGCACTGTATACCCGCGAGTGTGGGATGGCATTTCAGTTCGTCCCATCGGCGCTGACACATGTAGGCGTTACTGATACGAAAACAAACTCAGAGCTCAGAGCGGCAGTGTAGAATATGTCAGCCGTGCCGACACAGTGGCAGACATGATCGGGACACCAAATTTCTCGCGTCATACGGCACGGCTCCATCGTTGTCGCTGTCCCACAAAACATCGGCGAGGTGAAAAACTGTGAAACTTTGTCTCCACGAGATACGACGCATAACTATTGAAGCACTTAATGACGCAGCACAGGCAGCACTTCATGCTGTGAACCCAGCGCAACAGCACCACTCCGACTTCAACGCGTACCAACGTACGCGGCGTGGTTTCGGTTCCGTTTTCTCTGGGGTGCTCACTGCCTACCTTCGGTACCGGCCGCGCGGTGGCGCGCCAGTCCCGTCGCACGGAGTGTATAGACCTTTTCATCCTCCTCCGCATGGGCGCTGCCATCTTGGAATCACGTGACGCGGGAGCCATTAGGTTGCTTCAACTTGCTGCTCCGCTCTCCCCTCCGCGAAAAGGAAGAAGAAGTGTTCAGAGCAAGAAGCTCGATTTTTCGCTCCTTCTAGATCCAAACGCTTTAGGCCAGTTAATTCAATTTTTCATCTCGAACGGAAACCATCTACCATCAACAATTCTGCTCGGCGACAGCCCGCCGACCGCAAATGGAGGGCCAACCTCTTCTGTGAGTAGCAGAAAGCGTTTGACGCCCAATCTGTCTGACAAGATGGACGCCATAAGCGACCACATAAATTTCAATGGCCAACAGGAGGATGGACGCCCGCTGCTTCACCCTCCTCAATTGGTTCCTCAAGAAGTAAGTGGAACAGTATCGGACGAGAACATCCTATCCAAA